AAAATACACGACCCCGATCACTGAGCAGTTCCTGAGGGGCGCCATAGCAGAGAACAAAGCTGCGTAGAATAAACAAGGAAGCGTCTTTGGATGTTGCGGCAGGTAATGCAGCGGTTTCGGCGTATCTTGTCAAGTGATCCACGGCGACGACAATCCAGCGGTTGCCAGCACCAGTGCATCGCTAGTTGCCAGCGCCAGTGCATGAGAGAGGCCCGTACAAGTCAACGCCGACGCAATGAAATGCGTGGGCTGGACAGGGAAGCGGCTGGAGAGATGCTGTGGAGAGGTGCGACACTGGTTTGCATCATTGGCAGGCGAGGCATGAGCGGACGTATTTGCAGACGAAGCTGTACATTCCGCGCCAATAATAGCGTAGCCGAAGGTGCGTGAATGTCTTGAGCACCCCGCCACAGCAACACTGAGGGGAAAGCCAAACATAGATTGCGACGAAGATGGCGGGGCACGACCAATAATTACGTGCCGCCATCGTTGTGGTAGGTACGGCGGTATAAAAGACCATCGTGGATAGCATAATGCTGCACCTGGCAGCGTAGCGCTCGTGGAGCCGGGGTGGTCAGGGGGTTTGACAAAAATTTCAGAATTGTGGCGATCCATGGGTCATTTCATTGCTCAGAAGCCATGTCCAAAATGTCAAGTGGCGAAATATCATGATTGTGACTAGATGCCTTGGCGTATGAAATGAGTGGGAAGCCTGACAGGGTGTCAGCATCAGAGTGTTGTTGGCCAGAACGATATATGACACGGATGTCGTATTCCTGGAGTCAGAGGGCCCACCGAGCCAGGCAATCTCACGTGTTCTTGAGATTTGACAACCAACACAGAGCGTAGTGATCTGTTATGACGTCAAAAGGATGACCACAAAGATAAGAGCGAAACTTTTGTAGAGCCCATATGATGGTCAGGCACTCTTTTTCGGTTACGGTGTAATTGGTCTCAAGTTTTGTGAGTGCACGACTGGCCTATGCAACCACGTATTCGGCGTTAATATTGTCACGTTCTGCGAGCACAGCACCAAGGCCGACACCACTGGCATCAGTGTGAATATCTATGCGTGCGCTCGAAGCGAAGTGACGCAAAAGTGGTGGAGACGAAAGCAGGCAACGAAGTGTCGTAAACGCATCGTCACAAGCTTCTGACCAGGTAGATAGTTTGTTGTCGCCTTGGAGGAATGCATTGAGAGGTGCGATGACAGTAGCGAAATTTCGAACAAGAAGCGCCGAAAATAAAAGCATAGGCCAATGAAGGTGCACAGTGCTTTCAGGTTAGTAGGCTTCAGGAACTCGGATACGGCACGAAGTTTAGCAGGATCAGGAAGAATGCCTTCTTTGGAGACTGTGGCCTAGTATAGTTAGTTTTCAAGTAGCAAATAAGGACTTTTTCAAGTCAAGCTGGAGACCGGCATTTTGGACACAGCTCAATACTTGATGCAACCGTTGTAGATGGGACTGGAAATCTGGCGAAACGACGACAATATCCTCTAAATAACAGAGGCAAGTGTGCCACTTTAGAGACGCGTAAGGCGCCGTCCATCAAGCGTTCAAAGTTGGCGGGCACGTTACAGAGACGAAATGGCAATACAGTGAATTCGTACAATCCATTTGGTGTTACAAACACGCTTCTCCAGCGGTCAGCCTCAGCCATTGGCACTTGCCAGTAGCCAGAGCGGAGACCCAAGGAAGAAAAGAACTCTGCTCCTTGCAAGCAGTCGAGTGCGTCATCAATTTGTGGCAACAGATACACATCCTTTCGGGTAATATTGTTAAGCCGGCCATAACCGACACAAAATCATATTGTGCCATCTTTCTTCCAGACAAGGACGAAAGGTGATGCCCAGGGGCTATTGAAAGATGACACTGCGTTTAAGCATGTCATTCACCTGGGTATAGAGAAGGCGCCTTTCGCTTGCCGATACTCGGTAGGGACGCAGTCAAATGGGCGCATGGCTTCCTGTGTCGATAGTATGCGAAACAGTCGTTGTGCGGCGGAGTGCCCTTGCTCAAAAGAGGAAGAGAAATCGTCGAGCAACCAAAGAAGTTGGTCGTTGTGTCGTCGTAAGGTCACTGGCTATAGCTGGTGTTCAAAATCGCTGTAGTGGCCGAGGAGTTGATGTCTAGAGAGAAGCCGTATCAGTGGGGTCGTCCATGGTGTCGAATATTGAAGATGACGCCAGCAGTTTAGTTTTGCCGAGAGTTTCCTGGCGGCGCAAAGTGATTGGCTCGGGCGATGGATTGGTGATGTACATCACAGAGGCGCCTGAATGGAACTCGAAAACAGCAAATGACAATGACACTGATCAGCGGCGAACTAGAAGTGCAGACGGTACGAAAAGCACTAAGCCGCCGTCTTCAGAGTAACAAGAGATAGAGACAAGAACAGTAGACAGGGCAGGCACAATGGTGTCGTCACAAACTGTGATTTTGCGACACGCGTTTTTGTCATTGATGACGTCTGCCGAAAACAGAAACAACTCGAGTTCAGCACGGGTTCAATTGATGATCGCACGATGTGTTGAGAGGAAATCCCACCCTAATATGACGTCGTGGGAACAAGATGGCAACACAATAAATTCGATCACATAAAGAACATCTTGGATGACAACACGGGCTGTGCAGGCACCGGATAGCTCGATGTGCTGCGCGTTGGCTGTTCGAAGGGATAGTCCAGAAACAGGCGTCGTGGCTTTTCCAATATGGCAGCAAATTCGGACATCAATTGCTGAAAGAACAGCGCCAGTGTCGACAAGGGCTAGCGTCCATGTTCCTTCTATAGGGACTTCAATAACGTTTTGGGGAGAAATTCGAGGCCTTATGCATTTGGCCGGAACCGCAGTTCTTGCCTCCTAAACTGCGCTACTTAGTTTTCCTGGTGCACAAGGCTCCGCCGTCGGTGCGTAGGGGAAAGGGAGCGGCGGTGATGAGAAGGCGAGCCATGAGAGGAGGGTGGGGCACGGGAGGTAGGATCAGATCCGTAGTCATCTGAATAACTGCAGTGGGGTTGAGGCGGCGCATACGTGACCCTTGGTAGATGCACACTGATGGAGATAGGCAATGCATGAAAGTGACAGTAATGGGCCACATGTCCAACAAGGTCACAATGAAAACAAATAGGACGGTTTTCTTCCATGCACCAAGGTTCGTCGGCTCGTGCGTACTGTACAGCTGGACGGCGGGCGGCGATACCGGCGGGCGAATAGGCGGACTACGTGGGCTGTAACCTTGCAGCACAGGCCTGGAAGCGACTGCGGCGTATGTCAGGGGAGCAGCAGTCGGAACCTGATGGAGAGAAGGCGGGACTTCTTCGGCGACCTGGTCCCTGATAATGTTTTGGAGAATAGGTGCCAACGAGGAATTCGACAGGTCGTGAACAAGCGGCATCAACAAAAGCTGGCGAGCGACCTCTTCACGGATGAAATCCTTAATCTGTAGCAGCAGAGATGAGTTGTCAGGAGCAACAGCCAATCCCGACATTGAAGTCGCCTGTGGATAATAGTGGCGCGTGGCTGTGTGTTGTTTGCACAGCTCATCAAGACTTTGGCAAAGACTGACAAGTTCAGACACTGTGGATGGGTTCTTTGCGAGAAGCATCTGAAAGGAGTCGTCTTCAATCCCTTTCAAAATATGCCTGATCTTATCGGCATCGACCATTGCAACATCAACGCGGTAACACAGGTCGACAACGTCTTCAATGTAGCTGGTGAATGTTTCACCATTCTGCTGCGCGCGGCCACGCAACCATTGCTCGGCTCTTAGCTTGAGAACAGCGGGGAGCCCAAATACTTCCGTCACGTGCGTTTTGAAAGCAGCCCATGTTGGAAAGTCACGTACGTGGTTTCGATGCCACACGCTGGCGACACGACTAAAATAAAATGACATGTTGTTGAGCTTCACAGCGTCATCGGTTGATCACGCTTATCCGTTCGTATTCGGCGAGCCAGTCTTCAACATCCTCATCTTCTGTACCGCTCAAGATTGGTGGGTCGCGTTGACGCGATGGGCCAGGGCAGACCAATGTAGGCACCAGGACAGCAGGTTGTTGCTGCGGTTTATTTGGAACTTCATCCGGCATCGTAGAGGCTGGCTTGAGTTTCCGGCTGCGAAATTCCAGGTTGTCGCTACCCAGCAGCTCCACCACTTGTTACGGAGGGGTTCATTGAGGCACACGGCGACCGGGAGGATAGCAGCAACAGTAGGCAAAGCATAGCAAGGGGCGAACAGCCGAGCGAGCCAGGCGATGGCAATGCGTTTCCGAATGTGTCTATATTCTTCCTCACACCATTCATAATGAGACAAAACAAACATGGTTTGAGTTTATTCAACCATGTGACAACTACCTAAAAACGCTGCATACATGGTTTGGTGCAAACGGAAAAAAGGTGCATGTCGCAGCTTTACTGGCCATCTTCACCCCGCCCCCCAAAAAAAAACACCTGTATCACTAGATTACAAAAAATTACAGGCAGAGGAAAACTTCGACATAAAGAAATGTGCATGTGGCCCATGACAGTGAATAGCAAAATGGCAACTGAGAAATGCATTCAAGTAGAGAATCATATGGAGAGCCATAGTCAAAGGGAAAGCCTTCGGGTGAAAGGTTCTTGAATGGAACATGGCATACGACTCTCACTGCCTTGAGGATAAAGTGAACAGGCCTAGCTGAGACTTTCTCCTAAACTAGAACTTTTTTTTGGCCGCTCTGTGTTTTTGAGCAGCTTGGCATGGTGAGTTCTGGTGTAAATGTCATTGCAATTTTGAACACCCACAGTTAGCATATTGGCCAGAAAAAAGACTTTGCCATGGAACCTATTATTTTTTTTCCTACATAACATAATGTGGACAGACAGCTACAATTTTCCCTTAACCTGGGAACTTGAAGCCTCTGGCACCTTCACAGTTGTTTGTAACGCATCAGAAGAGCCCAAATTTACATGTTCCATAGACTCCAGCTAACAGAGACATCGTAAGAAAGAGGAAGATACTCACTGTTGACGTGTGGCAAGTTGGTGTAGTGGAGCTCCTTCTTGAGCACCTCATAAGTGGTCAGCACAATGTCATACTTGGAAAATGTCAGAGGCGAGACAAAGCCATGGTCCTGCACTCCTCGATATTCCATCACACGCAGCACATTGTCCTTTTGGTGCCGTTCAATCTCTTCCAGCCACTGGAAGCTAATGCTGGATGGCGACACTATCAGGGTGCTTTTCACGGCTATCTTCTCCTGCCAAAAAGAGGAAGAAATCATTAACTGAAGTCTTGTATTTTTTTCTATTTCTCTCACTCTATCATGCTCTCTTCCTCCTCCTCAACTTCACACCTCTCAACCTCACTGCTTTTTTACATCTCCTTTCATATACACTACTGCACAAGCCTACAATATGCTCTGTTAGCTTGCCGGAACGGCCCATTGGTTTTCTATAAATTTCTATCTCTCTCACTCTATCTAAGCTCTCTCCCTTTCCCTCCTCTCAACCTCACTACATTTTTTCATCCCCTTTGGTATACACTACTGCACAAGGCTACAATGTGCTGTCAGCTTGCCGGGACAGCCCAGCGGTTTTCTGTCTTTTCTATTTCACTTTATCTATGCTCTCTCTCTTTCCTTCCTCCTCACTTTCAGACCTCTCAGCCTCACTGCTTTTTTATCCCCTTTGGTATACACTGGGTATCTCCTCTGGCAGCCAGAGGGTCAGCCAGGTAGTCGCGGTCAGGACAGGAAATAGCCTCGTGGTCACGTGTGTGGGCAATCTTGAGACAACCCAAAGCTGTACGAAAATTGCAAAATTAAACGCTGAGACAACCAGCGTAAGCACTAAACAAACGCTACTGTCATGGCAGGAAACAAAACAGTGCGCCTCATGCGCGATAGTTTTTTTTTTTTTTTTTGCATTGTCTGCTTGGAAATGCGTGGATAAGTTTGCCGAAGAGCTGAAATAATATTGTCACTATTCACCATAAACCAAACACCGAGATCTTCATCCAAGAACCAATGACGTGTTTTATACAGCAGTCAAAAGCAAGGACATAAATACAAATGCATTGTTTGATTCAGTCAATGTTCCATTTCATGAGATTGTTGAAGCACACATTGTCTTCGTTGTCTGCCTATTTCAAGCGTGGCATTTCCGAGCCAGTCATTCATCCATAAAGTCACATTGTACAAGCGATGGTCCTTCGCAGAGTCACTCGCTCGTATACAGTTTGTGGCGCACTACGTGCACAAGTTCAGGTCGGAGCTAACACCGCCTTGTACAGTTTGGGCTATCCGGGACGACCTCGTAGGTAACGTCACTTAGTCGTCGCAGCACTCAATAAGGTCCGAAGTATCTCGTGAGCAACTTTTCGAATAGTTCTCGTCTTGATACAGGCATACACACTCATACCCTGTCCCCGGTTTCGTACATTACAGGTGTATGACGTAGATTATAGCGACCTGCGTCGTTGTACTCTTGCTTTTTGTATATTGTACACGTGCGATCTGCCTGGCTTCCTTTGCGCGTTGAGCGAATGCGTTGGCACTCGTTTCATTGTCATCGCATTGATGTGGCAGCATCGCGTCCAACAGTCTTTACTTCTCGTCTTCGAACAAGGCCGAATGGGGTCATCCATGTGGTTTCTTGTTTAGCAGTGTTATATGCAAACATTATGTAAAGTGGAATCTCATCCCAATTTTTGTGCTCGATGTCCACATACATTGAAAGCATGTCTTCCAGAGTTTTGTTGAACCGCTCGGTCAACCCGTTAGTTTTAGGATGGTAGGCTGTAGACTTACAATGAATAGTACCACTGTGCACCAACACATGATCTAAAAGTGCGACCGTGAATGCGGTTCCGCGATCTGCTATAACGATCAAAGGTGCACTGTGTCTCAACACAACGTTCTCTATGAAAAATCGAGCCACCTTCTCTGCTGTGCCTCTCTGGATGGCTTTGGTCTCGGTGTAGCGGGTAAGGTAGTCGGTCGCCACTATAACCCAGCGGTTCCCAGCCCTGGAGGTAGGAAGTCGACCCAAAAGGTCCATTCTGACCTGGTCAAATGGTGTTGGCGGAACCTCGACTGGGTGTAACAAACCGACTGCTTTGGTCAGAGGTGACTTGTGCAGCTGGTAATCGAGGCAGGTCAGAACATCTTTCATGGCAGCGGTGAGTCTAGGCTAGTAATACCTCGCCTGAGCTCTACCCAGAGAGCGTGTGTAGCCTAAACGTCCAGAGGTAACCTCGTTGTGGCACGCTTGCAATACCTCAAAACGAAGAGCAGTAGAAATGACAAGCAGGTATGTGGACACGACTGACGAGAAGTTTGTTTCGCAAAGGACATCGTTTCACAGACAGAACGACGATAATCATCTTGCTAAGGCTTTGGGTGTGTTTTGGGCTTCGTCCTTCTAAATAACTAATCAAGCCAAGTAGTTCAGGATCGTTACGCTAGAAGTCTGCAATGGTTGACGTGTCGAGGATTCTAAAAAGAGCTGTCTCTTCATCAAGAGAAGGAGCCGACTATCGGCAATCGGGACAGGCAATCCGCATCTGTGTCTCGTTTTCCCAAATTGTACATCATCGCTATATCGAACTCCAGTAATCGAGGGCTCCAGCGTGCTAATCACCCAGATGGATCTTTGAGACTTGTTAAGCAATACAGCCAATGGTGGTCACTGATAAGCTTGAACGGGCAGTCGTACAAGTATGGGCGAAATACCATAATGCCCACACCACCATGAGAAATTCTTTTGCAGTTATCGAGTAATTTGCTTCTGTGTGTGACAATATCCTCGAGCATACGCGTTTGAGGTACAACTTCACACGCTCGCACAATCACTCGCAACTCGCTGCGCTAAAGAACGAAACATCCAGCTAGCATATGCCGCATCGAGAACAATATAAGGTGAACTGCCGCCCCGCTGAAGGCTTAAAGGGAGATGCTACTTGAAGACACCACTTTTTTTAATATTCACCCTAGAGCAATGAAACTTGAGCTGTTTATGGAACTTTTTATGCTTATTTCAAATATATAATTAATTTTCTTGCAAGTTACACACTTCTAGCTCTGCAACATGACAAAGTGAAAACCTTAACCCTTTGCCCCCCCTCTTTTCATCGCTAAACTTCCGTAACTTTTTACTATTTATAGTTCATAATGCCTAAAATAAAGTGTAGAGTGCAAATAACTAATTAGGAAGCACATGCAATATATGGAATACGCGTGAAAAATAGTAGACGTAAAAAGTCCATATTTCACCTAACCTAGTAAAGGTATACATAAAATTTTTTATTATACAATAAAATATTGAAATTTAAACTAGATAATTGCATTTGCCATACTTCGAAAAATACTTGGGCAAAGTTTCATGAAAATCCATGCACTAGAAGTGCCCAAAAAAGGAGAGGAACATTGGAAAAAATGGCAGAATTTGTGTTTTGAGAAAAGCGAGTGTTAAAACTAAAATTGAGTGTTTATTAATGAAAGATATTAAATCAGATGAAATTTGCACATCAAAAAGAACAATCCTTCTTTTAGTGGCCAATGCGACTAAAATACGCCAGAACCATGAGTTTGTCCCTCTCAGCTTTTTCGAGTCGACTCCTCACAGACATTTCGCTCACAGACAGGGCCATGAAACGCTTGCCAAACTTCCGCTCCATCTGGCAGAGCCTTGTGTCAACTGCAAGAAGTTCGACAGGACTGCGAAATCCAAACTAAGTCCAGTGTTATGCCATTTTGCAGCCATGTTTGTGCCACATACTGTCGTACATAATGGCAATGTCGTCCCTGCTAAGTTCTCTCACTGCGAGCTCTTTCGACCTCTAAAGATTGGGGCTGACGTCATCCATTGCCGCATCACAAACTTTCCAGCTGACGGGTGTGAATGACTTTTGATGAATTGGCTTTTCCAAGCCAACAACTGCCGCAAATCGGACCAGCTGCTCGTAGCCTATTCCTACAGAGCGCACCGCACAACGACTTTCACTAGCAAGCAATGCCTTTTTTTCATTTATAACGAAAATAATTACACGAGAAAAGCATTGTTCAGCTGCGCTGCTCGACAAGACATGGACCCCGCAAATAGGTTTCACAGCACATGCAGGCGCGCAGCGGCCAACAGCGGTCCCCGATTCGTACCATGTGATAAGCCAGTCGTGGCGCTCGAAAAACGCGCAGAAGAGTGCTTCTTTTTATTATTTCTTGCGCTGCATCAGCAAGAGAAACTGTTGTTATTTGAAGAGTGAGGCTTGACTCTTCTACTCATGCGATCAACAATGGCGAGTGGCAGCGCATTATTGGCGGCAGGTGGTTGAAGACTGCACACTTTCGACCTTTTAACAGGCACCTTGTGCTCTTTAGATGCAATTTTAAAGCATTTCCAGTTAAGTCTCGGCCTGTATTATTTTTTTTTCATAGCAGTAGAGGTACTAATCTTATCAAAACAGGCGAAAATGAAAAATCGGTAATTTTGAAAAAAACTCGCGTTTTTCGACCCACACCTCCCCTTAACAAGCTCATGTCTTCTTAGTACATGTAACAGTCACTGCACAACACGGTGCGATATCACGCAAAAGTGATAGTGTCCCAAAAAAGCTATAGCGTAGTATACGTCGCAAACACGTGTTGACCAACTTGCATTTTTGTCTAAAGTTTAGACATGCGTAGGTAGCGCTACCACGAGTACACGTCGTATCTAAAATAAACTTTTGCACGACGTGTTTTCAACTCATTTTGTTACTTGCCTGGACCTCTTTTCCAGTCCTGAAAAGCACTTATGAAGTTTCATGTCTCTCCGCTTTGATTTGATCTACTAGGTCATAACCGTATACACTGCAGGGCATTATTACTAAGAGGTGAAAAAAGACAAAGCCGACGATGAAATAGGCAGCGAAAGGATGTATACATTCCTGAATACGTCTTCGTTTCTTTATCCTCGATGTCTGTCTGCATGTATTGTGCAAACGCTAAGTGCAAACGCTAATTTTTAAGGCCTTAAAAATAGCCACTACTCAGAAAAAAAGCGTCAAAGACCTTCGCGATCTCACCATAAATAAAGCACCATCTTCACAGTGTTTCCTGAGCTCGTGCTCTACAATTCAAGCTATTATCGCTTTGACCTAAGAATCCCAATCCCAGAAAAGGAGCAAGTTTTGTTCACAACCTGGGATAAAGGAGAGTTGATCAAAAGACAAGTAACTCCAAACGCTTTCGGGCAACACCTTCAACAGTGCTTAAGAAAACGGCTGCCACACGAGTACATTCGGTTCAGAGTTATTAGTGAAGCTAAACAATCCCTCGAAAGAGGTTGCGTCCTCCATTTTCACTTCGAAGAAAACTGGACTGTAGTACAGGGAGAAGCTGAGTCGTATCACTTGCAAAATATGCAAGTCTCAATATTTACATGCGACATCTCGACTAGAAAAGAAACCTGCAGTTGTGTTGTCATTAACATTGACACTGGCCCCGACACCGTTCACACACACTACGCTCTCGGAAAGGTGCACAGGTGTCTCGAGGGTGTTTTTTTCATATGCACATGTCACATATTTTACATACCTTGAGCACAACAGAAAATTCCTGACCTAAATATATTGATCACGGCAGCTATTGCTCCCTACTCGCTCATTGCTGTTTTTCAATGTACGCCAGTTTTACCAATCAGCCTCCCCTCGGCAGAAGTGATTGCGGAGCTGCACTCACCTTTGTGGGGTCCACCCAGCAGTGTGGGCAGAGGTATTGTTCCTCGCCAGGATGGCATGCCACACGGTGAGAGACATGGCACTTTGGGCACTGCACCATCTCCTCCCCCTCACCGTCCGAGAGACACTCAATCTGGGTGGGGGACACATCACCACTCTACATGAACAAGGGAGCACAGGGGCTCACACAACAAGGCCACTGCAGTTGCACAAGAAGCAGACGTGAAACAAATTTACAACCATACAGCTATAGTGTCACATAACATGAAAGCCTTCAAGAAGCTTCGCAAAGAGATGTATCCCTTTGTCAGGGAGCACCTTGAGCCCTGGTTGTTTTTCTGCAAAAGCACCGCTCACTTACATTGTGATAGCAAACAAACTTACGGGTGCGTGATGGCATCCGGCAGCAGTAACTACTCTGAAATTCAGCTAACCACCATAGATGTGAGTGTGGGGCGCAGAAATCAGTTGTTGGGAGAATCGGGAGTGAAATTTCTAGCTGACTTGGGGAATTATTGATTCTAAGCGACATCCCACAACACAATTTTGGGCTCACGTGTTCTCGGGAGCCTCAACTACCGATTGGCACTTCTTTTTAATGCTCGAAAAGAATTGCAGGGCCCCTTTAGAATGCGTAGACACATGCAGGCCCTTTCGAGGGTAAAAGCTTTCCATGTGTTCCAGGAGCAAGCATTCCTGTAGCCTCAACTCATAAAAATGGCGGTTGCACTTGGCTGCCGACTGCAAATTGCTGTCTTGAGCATTTGCCTAAATTACAGCACCATGTGACATCAAAATCCTGTAGTCCATTTCTGCCCAGCAAACCTAGTTGCATGTCTTTTTCTCAGGGCATCTACCTTTCAACACAGTGTTCACACATAAGGGGGCTATCCTCACTTGGGTGTCCACTAGATTCTTTTTTCAGCTCCCAACAATTGTGTCACGCACAATGTGCCATATTCGAGCCATAATCTTCCCAACACTGTGCGGAAGAAGTGAAGCTGCCGCAAGTCCTACATTGCACAAACAAGACTCTGTGTTAATGACAGACTTAGGGGGCATGCCAATAGTACTGGAAACAGTGTGCATCCTGCCACAGAGCTTGTCTCAAGCCTCGTCTTGGAAAAATGCAGAGACCAAAGTGCAAGAGAAATGTTGCAAGCTTCCTATGAAAGAGCCTGTGTCACTGCACTGTATTAAACAGAAACATTTCTCCTTGAAAACATTTTATGATGAGCACATCAATCTGCATCCCTTCACTGTACAAACGCAAGAGATGCCTTCACACCTCCACAGATGGATGAAATTTGTGCCACTCAGAATCGTCCTACGTTAACCACTGCCAGTCTTCCTTGTTCTGGTGATTTCACATTGTTTCCCTGTATTTTAAATACAACCACATTATTCAAAGTCAACATGTAGAGACAGAACAGCATGCAGAAAACGTTCTGCAAAGGAATACTTGTTGAGGGACATTTCATTTATTTCATTTCCCAAGGAGTCAGGGGTTGTGAGGAGAGTGTTGCATGGGTTTAGGGTTACGTATGGTGGGGAGAAAGTACAAGATGGCATAAGGATGATGGACAAGTGCGACGGTGTCATGAAGTATGTAATTCGGTGTCACTTCACGCCATCACACGCTTGTCTGTCATCCTCTCTCCCCGCTACTCCTAGCCTCGTGAACACAAGCCTATGCAACACTACCTCTCAGACATCGTAGATACTGCAGGTATACATGGCCAAGGAGTCACACAACATCCACAGTGCTGCACGGAATCACCCAAGATGCAGCACAGATATTGCTCTTGGTTCAGTTGCAGCCTTTTCTCGTCATTCATCCATTAGTCTGTATTGGAGAAATATTCCTACAACAATTGCCTTTAGGCGAGTGCAATGAAAAAAAAAAACATCTGCGTAAAACACCTCAATGTTCAGCATGCACGACAGTTTAACACGAAGAGCATTTATAGCTAATTATCAGTGGTCATGTTGTTTCATCAAAACCAGCATCTGTGCTATTTAATGATACAAAATGTAGACATTCCTGCGGCCCATCTCTCCGCATCAAATAGTGTACCGATTCTACGCAGTTCTTTGCCTATCAGAATATTAGTGGTGCTGTATAGCAGCAAGATAATGTGTTAATCATCTTGGTATTCTAGACTGTTTGCCAGTTGGCTATTGCTCATTTGTATGGGCAGTATTGCCACTTCACAAAACAGTTTCCATTAAAGCGACCAACAACCGATTTTTTTCAACCCAGTTTTTTCCAGCACGACAGAAAACTTACCCTTCGTAGTGTTCGTAGCCGCAGTAGCTAATCACAAAAGTATGCAGTTATTTTATAAGCAGTATTTTTCTACTTAAAAGGCTCTGAACACAAATGAGCCCTTCCATCCAACAACGCTGAGAACTGATAGCAACACCAGTATCCTTTCTGGCAACTTGTGCATGCTGTCATTGTCCTGCTTTCGCAGGAGTTCCTGTAACAATGCTTAACCAGGTCTATTCTGAGCTTTACAACTATTTTTGAAAATAACAAGCCGTTACAATGAGACGATGTGGCTTTATTCAGCTTCTCTGTATTTGTACCGTGCTGCGTGTGCCTGTGCCCAAGGTTGTTGTGCCTGTGTCGCGGATGACTTGTCCTGTCATCATTACTCTCTCGACACACAAGCCAAGCCAAGTCACCGAAAATGGGAGGGGGAGGTGGAAAGAAGCAGGAAGGACAGGGCACTGCGCATATGTGCGGCCGTTACGTGCATAGCTGTGCGCGGTCATACACATAATTTGTGATACAAATTGTAGGTAGAAAAACCACATCGCTCCAAAATCTTAGCGACCTAGAAACAACTGTACGATTTCATGAGCATGCAGAAAAGTTTCTCAAGAAGCACTGACGAGCATGGGATCATTACATCATGCGAAGCCAACGCCAATTTAATGTGTACTACTAATACGGGTATATGTGTACATTTTTATAGAGTAATAACTTTTACTATAAAGAAGCAAACAATATTTCTATACCAACAGGAAAATTGTTGACTGCATACACTAGTTTAGGGTCACAAGACTGGGTACATCTGATGATTGAAGTTTCTGTGACCAGGTGTCGCCACAGGCTACTTTCGCAATTTTCAATAAAGAAATAAAAATATAACTCCACTTTTCACGAGAAAAACAGGGTTGGTTTGAGTCACTAGGAGGGACAATTTTTCCACCCGTGCAGTCACCTCATTTCATGTTCTGAGCATTTGTTGGTCCAGCACAGGTTTACCTTGAGTCAACTTCATGCATTATAACAAAAAATTTACGACCCACAACATTATTTCATACTTAACAGAAGCTCATAACTCGTCTGCCTACACCTGTAAATGGTACATACTGCTCTTGTATGCTTCCTTGCCCTTTCTAACATTATCATTTATTATAGTTACAGTTTTATTCATACCATGACGTCCTTACTAGCATTGCTTGTCACTGCTCCCACTTTGTTGCTCACGTAATGCACCTACTTTGAAGAACTCCATGAAAGTGAGATCAAATAAGAGACCCACCAGGGTGAGATCAGAGGTGGGCGGCATTGGGTGCAGAAGGATGCACGCAAGCATCTCCACTGTCTTGCCAAGTCCCATTTCGTCAGCCAAGATGCCACCGGGTCTACATGTGGCCATGAAGTCCATCTTCTTCTCAACAAAGCTGCAGCACCAAACCATTAGGCAACACCATCATCTGGTGATGTATCACCCTAATATTGCTTGGTCATTTTTTGGAGTAAAGCATTGCCAGCTTATTTTGTTTGTTCTCAATTTATGTCACTTTTTCACTGCACAGAGGAAGCAAGAAACAGGTTCGTAGAAGCACTACTATACAAGACTGGTTATTGTGAGCAACCCAATTTTTTGGCAACGTGGCTTAGTTTTAGGCTTAGCATCCAAAAGCAACTCTCCTTCCCAACAGAGGGTTCCTCGTGAGATACTTTCAAGTGTTCTGAAGGTTGCTTGGTGGCCTTTCACCTCAGGACAAAAAGAAAGAGTAAAAGAAAGTGAGGTAAAGATCTAAAAAAAAAAAGCCAAAGAAAGAGAGGAAACCATAGGAATAAAAACAAAGATGGCCACCTAGCTCCACTGTTCTATCAGTCAGAAGCTGGCTTGATTTTTCATTGTTTTTCTTTTTCCTGCTTAGACGATGTGTGCGCACTGCCTGCAGGTGAGACATCAATGACAGGCCTACCAAGACGAGCTGTGCACCCTGGAGGCGAGGTAATGGGCTCCCACATACATGCATTGTACTCGAGCCATGACCCAACACCTTGAGCATGATACGCAATTTTCTAAAAACCACCAGTCACACAGCAATGTACAGGCTTTTACGACGCTCGTCCTAGTAGAAAAAAAAATTGGGGCAGCTTCGCATTGCGAGTGCCAAGCTTGAAGAAAGTTCTACGGTTTTCGTTCTCTTTTCCTGCTTGCAAGCAATGACAGCCCCTAAACTGCTCTGCACTCACCATCAGACCCTCAAAGAACTGGAAAAAGACTGCTCTTTGGTGTATATTATAGTATGTGGTTGTGCCTGCATTACGCTTAGCCATACCATCATGCAATGACATCGTATGACAGCCAGGGCCTTTCAAGTGCTCTAACAGTCATCCTTAAAAGATTTCCTACATACATCATAAAGCACATCATCAACATGTAATGTGGCAAAAGGACTACAAACTCATGTAAGGGCACGTTTCGTGGATTAATCAGCATATGGATGTAACCAGGGCTTAAAGTCAGCGAAGACCCAGGGGGCGCCTGGCCTCCCTCCATTCTTTAAGGAGGGGCTCAGCACACAATATTAATAAGAACTTACACACAATGATGCCAAGAGAAGTAAAGCGATAGTGTGGACCATAATAATTAGAGAGTAACTTGGGTGATACACCAGGGGCGCAGGGCGGTACATGCAGCCATACAAGTGCTCCAGGAACGAATGTTAGTGCAGAACAATGGTCATCGTCACGGGTCTCCTCCTGGCGCTGTTGGTTGGCTGTAGTAAGCCGCTTGGCTAGCTTGCGGCACTTTTCTGCGTAACGAGCGGCTTTCGAGACAGGTGTGCATTTGGAGGAATCTGGCGAGTATAGCAGCAAAGTGTCGATGGTGTGCGATGATTAGCGACCACACAGGAGAAAAAAATGGGGAAAACCGGGTAGTGACTTGCGTAGTGGTGTTATACGCGTATGTCACAAATGGAAGAATGAGGTCCCAGTTTGTTTGACCAGAAGTGACATGCGTCTCGAGCATGTACCCCAGAGTACGATTAAACTGCTCAGTCAAACCGTTCGTTTGTGGGTGGTAGGCTGTACTCTTCCGGTGTACAATATGGCACTGTTGAAGAAGTGCTTGGATTACATCGGAGAGGAAAACAGGCCCTCGGTCACTGAGGAGTTCGCGAGAAGGACCATGACGAAGCACAAAACGATTGAGTATGAAAGTTGCGACGTCTTGTGCTGCAGCTGTGGGGAGAGCAGCAATTTCAGTGTACCGTGTAAGATCATCTACAGCCACGATAGCCCATCAGCCTGCCGTTATCAATGGTAGTCGTCCGTAGAGGTCCATTCCACCTACACGGTTGAATGGGCAGTTTGGGCATGGAAGTGGCTGCAATGAAACTGTTGCAAGATGTGGCCGGTTTTCTTGCCACTGACATTTGTGGCAGCCGCGAATGAACTAGCGGACGAAGGTAAATATTCCACGCCAATAATACCTTTTTCGCAGGTGCTCGTAGGTCTTGAAAACACTGGCATGAGCACATTGCGGGTCGGAATGAATTGACGCGCAGATAATAGGGCGCAGCGTTCGGGGAATGACTAGTAGCCATTTCTTACCATCTGCGGAATAGTTGCGCCGGTACAAAAGGCCACCTCGAATACTGAAGCGCGGAGCCTGGCGGCGCAGGGTTCGTGTGGTTGGAAGTGTCGGTGCCTCGGCTAACGCGTCAAGAAGCGAGCGATCTATGGGTCATTGCGTTCTGCAGAAGAGATGGTGTCCTCGTCAAGAGTTGACAGCATGTTGTCCGAGGAAACAGATGCAATGTGCGGGGATAGAGGAGATCGCGACAGTGCATCAGCATCGGTATGCTTGTGGCCAGAACGGTATACAACGCGGATGTCATATTCTTGAAGCCGAAGAGCCCAGCGGGCAAGACGACCCGATGAATCCTTGAGCGATGACAACCAGCATAATGCGTGGAGGTCCGTAACTACATCAAAAGTACGGCCATAAAGGTATGGGCGGAACTTGACAAGTGCCCAAACAATCGCCAAGCATTCCTTCTTGGTGACGCTGTAGTTCGATTCAGCCTTGGTGAGAGTTCTTCTGGCGTAGGCGACGACATACTCGGCGAATCGAGGCTTGGTTGCGAGAGAGCTGCACCGAGGTCGACACCACTGGCGCAAGAATAGCCAAGTAGCTTAGACGGTCGCCTACGAATTATGGGTACACAAGTTTTGAACCCTGCCACCTTGTGAGCAATTTTTAGAGCAATAGCTATTATGAGATCACAACACAGTTTACGTCCGCATCATGCTAGTCATCGTTGACGTCGCATTTTACAATGAGCAATGAGGAAATCGATTCGAAGTCCACCAGATGCTCCACGTGCCGTTGGGTCGAAATAAAAAAGCGATGCTTCCCGCTCAGATAGTAGTTGCAATCATCGCTGAACTTGTCACAGGTGAATTGAGAGGAGCTGGCACAGCTTGATTCCGCGTTGGATGACATCGACATCTTGCTTTTCGCGCATCGGAAGAGACACCCGAGCTATGTTTACACCTGACCAGCCGATTTATTGATTGATATGTGGGGTTGAACGTCCCAAAACCACCATATGATTATGAGAGACGCCGTAGTGGAGGGCTCCGGAAATTTCGACCACCTGTAGTTCTATAACGTGCACCCAAATCTGAGCACACGAGCCTACAACATTTCCGTCTCGATCGGAAATGCAGAAGCCGTAGCCAGGACTCGATCCCGCGACCTGGGGTCAGTAGCCAAGTACCTTAGCCACTAGACCACCACGGCAGGGCGACACACTTGACCAGTTGCAGCAGAGTGTAGCTGATCTCGTGATGTCATCGGCGACGGATTCTCGCAACGTCGTCCGATACTCACCATGGATGAGGGAGCAGCTCCCTGTTCCGGTTTATATTTTGACTTGTTTATTGCTAAAATTAAAAATATTTACGAATGCCCGGGCAAATAAACCGCCCTAGCTCTTGCAGGACCATCAATAGTATTTGAAAACAGCATTATCTCAGTATGGTCGAAAATGTACCCAAGTTCCCCTTTAGGGCCACGTATAGAGGGTGCATAGCAAATTCAAAAAGGTTTTATGAACTAAATGTTTGAAATATGCACTAGAAACAGGACGTCACTACCACGTTCAACTCGTAAAGGCAAAGCTTTAGGGTCCCTTAATTTTTAAAACACCAAACATAAAGCCAGGTGTTACATAATGCAAATTGCACAAGGAGTGGGTCGTCGAATTCTCCAACCCTTTGCAAAAGCTTGACGTTGTTCACCTATTAACTGTGGCACATACACAGTGTGGGGTTGATGAGTGATTGATATGTGGAGTTTAACGACCCAAAACCACCATATGATGATGAAAGACACCATAGGAGAAGGCTCCGGAAATTTCGACCACCTGTAGTTCTATAACGTGCACCCAAATCTGAGCACACAGGCCTACAGCATTTTCTCCTTTATCGAAAAGGCAGCTGCCGCAAATAGGATTCGATGCCGGGACCTGCGGGTCAGTCGTGTACCTTACCCCTAAGACCACTGCGGCTGGGCTTCCCCTGCAGGGTATTGTGGGGATTACACAATCTCTCTGGCATAATTCTTTATTGTAGTAAGCCACAGCACAAAAAAAAATGGCCCAGTTTGCTGCTAGTGTGCAGTGGCTACCACACTTCTCTGTAGAATGACAAAGGATGGCGTAGTGAATGCCTCCTGCCTACTAATTACACAATCATTTATGGCGTAGTGGGTACCCAGCAAGTGTGCTTGCAGCAGCTACCCAAAGACTGTTTAAAAAAGGCCCTGAAAGGCAGCTCTTCCACCTCTCGCTGCGGCATTTCTGCGCGTTCCACGCAGGCCTGGCTTTTTTTTTTGTTGTTGTTGTTGTTTTCCACTAAGATTTTCTCTTTCTCTTCTTTTCCATCTCATTCTTTCTCTCCCCCACTTTCTAGCCATAATACAGATAGCCGAAAAGAACTCAACACATTTTGCAGTGTGACAGCATGCCTGTATTTGATGACATTGAGATGCAATCAGTTTGCCAAAATAAGAGATCACAGAATAATTTAAAGGGCCAGTAAACAACTCAACGTCTAAAAATTGTTATGAAGAGAAATATGCGCACTTTTACTAAAGAAACTGGCTGCCGCAAACATTTTGCAAATGCATGCTACAGTAAGATGGTAGGCCACTCAAAAACAAAAACTTTTTTAGGAGCAGGCAGCATTGAAATAACTTTTTCCTCAAAACCAGCATGTCTTATTTAATTTACCCAGCTATTTACAGTGCAAAATATTAAATATTTATTTATTGGGAAATAATCTTTGTCAAAAATTGCATTAAAAGGGCTAGCCACGCCAGCTGTGATGAGTGACTAATGGTGGCTTTATTCAGTAAAGCTTTGACATTTGTGTAACTAATGGCTGGAGCTATGCAGTGAACTTGAATAAATATTATGCAGTGAATATCAAGGAAGTAACGCTAAAGAACAAAGAAAAACGGGGAAAAAGAGCCAATTTAGACTGAACCTGTTGGAGAATTCAGCTGTGAAATGAGAAATATTCGATGGATTTCTTTTATTCTAGTTCACTACACAGATATATGTGTTGTAAATCATTGTGCGAAATTTCAGTTCAAAGTATACGCTGAGAAATATGTTATGAAAGTTTGCGTCGCAACATTTGGAGCAAATTGTTATTTTCAGAAAAACGTAAACAAAGATTTCCGAGCTTGTAAAAAGGGTCACAATCTTCGCATGCAGGCCTAAAATGCACCAGATTTATAGCTGGGCCCTTCTGTGGAAGCATTACTGTCTCCTTTTGTACGGGTGGCTGCTCGTCTTTTCTTCCTGGCCTATTTTTTTCATCCACTGACTTGCGTTTAGCATTCTGCATGCGCAGGTGATCCCTGGTGGTGCAAGCTTTCGCCGTGTGGTACCCTGGTTCTATGCCAGCTTGCCTCAGGATATCTAGGGTGCTTACACTGCCATTATTAAAGTGTGCCACAGCATCATGCAAGGTAAACATTACTGTAAGCAAGCTTACGTAGACCTCTTTGGGTGCCCGCTGCCATATTAGACCATTGAAATACTTATTAGAATTTTGAGTCTTTTCATGAAGGCACTTCATTAGAAGTTCATCAGAGCACAGATCACTATAGACAGTTTTAACTTTGTTGAGCACATCATTTGGAAGTCTTCCTTTGTGTACATATTTCCCTTGGCCGAGTGCTTCGACCCTTTGGTATCCGCACCAGCTTTTAGGTCCAAGTGGACACAAGCCATGTCTCGGCTGCTTGTTGGTAGAGCTGCAATGAAAAAGACTGGCAAGGGTAGCCTTTTTCATTGCAGAAAGGTTCCCCACATTAGCCCTTATGGCGATGCCATAGTAGTTTTGCAGGCGGTCAATGAGGGCATCAGTGAGCTTTCCCTTACCACCGAGTCAACGCACTGTCTTCTTCAGTTTTCAAAGGCCGCAGCCAACATGCTTCTGGACATGCCCAATACATTCCAGTTTCTGCACACTCTTTCCATACATGTAATATGGTCCAAGTGGCCTAAGTATACAGCCATAGTAGCGTTGACAAGTGGAACAAATGTAGAACGAAGCCTGAAGTAGCCTGACCAAGGCAAACAACAAAAATTCCGACGAGCATCACGTCCCCCTTGTGGCTGTTGTTAGAGATTAACGAAGACTTTTAAACACAAAGTTGTATTTAATGACATCATCTTATATAACAGTCACAATAAAATGCATAAAGTATTTTGAACAGATAGACGAAACAACACTTGCTTCTGAAAGCAATTTTTTGAAACCGAAACCACATTTGGAAATGTGGTTTCGGTTTTGCTATAGGCACATAGGGTATAGAAAACTTGCTGTAACTCGCAAACTAATGACGCTAGGAGGATAATGTTTGCTGCAACATATATGTGAATGTTTGGGCAAGCAAGAAAAACAAAACCCTAAAAATTTATTACGCGAAAAAAAAAAAAAGACTTTTGAAGGTGGCCTACCACCTTTACGAAGCTAGAGGGGTTAGAACACGATTTTAGCACGACTTCAACACCCTTGTGTGCCATGGAGAAGGGAAAGGTGTAGCTCGTCATCATCACTTCGCCAATTTCTAAAACGTGACATGATGTGAGCGATTTGTCATCAGCGCACAGCGAATGACTGACCAGGACATTCCAGGCATGAGCCTGTGTCATAGTGGCGTGGAGAAAGAAAGCACAGTTCGAGGACCACCCCTCCCTTTGCGGCAAATTATCGAGATGCCTCTTTATCTAGGAGGCTTTCTTTCTGGTAATACCACTCCTTCCGGTAGTCTCGGGCTCGGCAGAGGGCAGCACAGGAAAATGAAAATGCTGACTGCGCTAATGCTGACCTGCTCGGCCGAAACTGCCTCACTACAGGGCCAAGGCCCCATTCCGTAGGTGCAAATGACGAATCGGCAAGCTCAGTGGCATGTCTAGTTTCCCATGAGCAAGCTTGCAACACTGCACATACGAGGGGAATTGTTTTTCGAAATGGAGGGTCTGTGCAGTGCCCAGAGCTGTAATTTACTGCCAATGAATAAGATATCAATCAGTTCGGGCTGACTCCTCAAGCATGCGCAGCTTAACAGAACGCTGGCATAAGGAAATGCGACTGCTGCAATGAGTGAGACTACCTTTGTGCTGTGTACATTTTCATGTACACGGGCATGTGCTGCCTACCGATTCCTGTCTAGACAAGATGCACGTCACTCCAAGGTGGCCCCTCCATTTTAGCCGTGGTTAGGGGCTGCCCACACATACTTTCACTCATACACACAAAGCATGGAGCAAGCTTGACCTTCCGTATAATCTCTGACATTATGCGGAACCTCATGGTGAAAATCTGATTAGAGAGTCAACTTAATAAAGTAAAAGAACCTTTACGCAAAAATATACAGTGCCGACGTGTCGTTTATGATTACTCATGCAAGCAAAATGCCAGCCCCAACTTCTCTTTGACTTATTTGGAGGCAATTCAAAGATAGGTAAAGTAAGAGCCCATATCTGCAAGTAAAACACAAGTTAGAGAGAGAGAGCTTTCAGACAGAAAATAGTGTAAATCTTTGAATCATTCTCACAAGCCTGCGTATTTGTTGTAGTAAAGTAGTTTCCCATAGCAGTCAACCAGTGGCGTGTACAGGAAATTATCCGTCGAGGTGCAAGTGACTGGCTCTTCTCGCTTCAGCATCCAACTGACCACTTGCTTTTGATACGGCCGCAGTGTTGGCCGCAACGCCGCATGTTGAACAGCGTCCACATCTGGCTGTGACGATTGGGCAGCCGCGATCCTCGCATAAAGCAAGTCAAGGTCCTGCCTTCGAAATTTCTCTGTGTGCCCTGTGAAAAAAACAATGGTGGCATAGGACATGCGCTGTGCAAACCTAATCTGGCAAATATGAATGGAGTGGATCCACAAAATGTCAAGCAGAAACTTATGTCTAACAGAAACATCACATGGCATATAGCAATGACTTTGTGACACAGCATAACCAGAAAGATAAACGTACAAATACAAGCGAAATCCAAACACCTGTCAGAGCACCATCCATGTTGTTGTCAGCAGTTTGCTTTTCAACTTGTATTTAGAAAGGCTGTGCGATGATGTCTTTCGAATAAATGTCAAAACACACATTCACATTTACTCTGTCTTTAACAGCTATGCAACACTGTCAAGGCAGGCAAAACAACAAACAAATTTTCCTTTTTAATATGCATCGTGGTGTACTGTGATGCAGAAGCAACAATTTATCATCTACTGCCCCCGTTAGAAGCACTGCATGAAAGCAAAGAAACTGTACTGAATGTGACAGATTCTTCGAGTTTATCTGAGCTACCCAGGCAGGCAAGCTGCTCTTGATCTTAGATATGGCATGCACAAATACATTAGACTTGGGACGACTTATCAATAGAGAAACATGGTAGAAACGATATTGCCACCCGCACGTAGTAGGTCGATGATAAGAGCGGCTCTCAACCTGGAAGAAAACAGAAGATCGCATGCTTCTTCTCTGCTCGAGAGCCAGCCACGATTGACGCATTGTCCAGCAGCTATCTGCTTGGTGGCTTAATAAATCCCCCAGTACTTCTGAATCATCGTGACAAACTAGTAGAGGTGCTGGATGGTCTCAAAGATGTTGCAGACCCCCCCCCCCCCAGCAAGCCGTGATACAAATCCAGTGCCAGTCGACACCCCCGTGCATCAGGCCAGCCACCGAATCAAGAGATTGCCTCCAGAAGTCAACGATAATGATCCCACCACGTCGACAAATATGACCAGCCGCTTCGGTGCAAACCTCGTCAACCTGCACGAAAAGCACGACGTCGAACCACTATATGTTAGAAAGCCCACGGGTACCGGCGACGTTCCATGGCCGAGCGCGATGATGTTGAGGACTGGTTGGCCGACTTCGAGCGTGTAGCCACCTTGAACCAGTGGGACGACATGGCGAAACGGGGTCGCTTCTATTTCTACCTCGAGTACGGGTCATGTATGTGGTATCAAAATTGAGAGGAGCTGCTGACGATGTGGCTCGAATTTTCTCGTAGACTTCTGCAGACCTACGCCAGTGCTGATCGCCAAGAACGAGCTGAACGAGCTATTTTGACCTGCGCCCTGTTGCCAAACGAAACTGTGACCATGTACATCGAAGACATGATGCGCCTCTACCAATAGGCCGACCCAAGAATGATGGAGGACAAGTAGCGTCGCTTGATGCACGGTGTCAAGGAGCAGCGTTTTGTCGGCCTCGTGCGAAGCCCTCAGAAAACGGTTGCAGAGTTCTGCAGCAGCGCTGCAGAACTCTGTGATCTCTGCTCCAGCAAAATGCTGCAGCAGTGATCCAACCAATTCGACAGGCAAGTCAGTGGCATGTCCACTGCTGACATTTTTGCCGCCAGTGGAACCAGCAATGACTGCTTACGTGAACTCATTCGTAATATAGTACGTGAAGAGTTTCAAAAGGCTGGTGTAACACTTCATCCTACGGTTAGTTCAATTGCAGCTGTGATCAAGAATGAGCTGCATCAGGCCCTCCAAGACACCTTACCTCCTGATACAGCTGCGCCGGCTCCTGCTGAATACCGCCATGGGACAACCTAGGCATAAGCCTTGAAGCACCCTGTTGCCCCGCCGCCATTGTTCATTCATCCTGTTCCTACGGTTTAACTCCAGTCAGCGCAGCACATACCGTACTACGATGGCACGTACACGTCATGACGCTTGTCCATGACGCTTCTGTCGCCTATCGTTCGGTGCAACCAGTCCGGGTGCATCGACGATTGGCACAAGTCTCCTCGGAAGTCGGATGTTTGGCGCACACCTGATCGCCGGCCTCTATGCTTTCAATGGTCTGAAATCAACTGCTACTGCAAAGGAAAGCCGGCTTTCACTCACCATAGCAGTGACAATTGATGGTTGTGTAGTTAATGCGTCAGTGGACACCAGCACAGACTATTCCATACTGAGCACGAAACTGACGACGCAGCAGAAGAAAGTTATCACGCCGTGGCATAACTCGCAGATTCGGACAGCTGGTGACCACGACGTTACTCCGCTGGGTAGCCTGCGCAACTAGAGTACAGATTCAAGCATATACATTTGTAGCAAGCAGCCTTGTTATGCGTGAATGCTCCTATGATATCATTCCGGGAGTTGATCTCCTACAGTAGAATGGAGCTATCATTGATCTGCAAAAGTAACGCGTCACGTTCTCAGCCCAGCGATCATTCAACGTGCAGAATGACGAAAGGCGTGTCGACATACTCCGTGTTTCTTAACAGAGCGTGACGCTTCCTCCACGAGCAAGTGTTCTAGTCGACATCACATGCTGTGGTTTGGGCGACGGCGAAATCATGGTGGAAACAAACTTAGAACCTGCAGCTAGGCATTTGTGTAGCTAGAAGTGTAAGACACTTTCGTGATGGCCGATCTGAATTGCTCGTTACCAACTTTAGCAACGAGCATCATCACCTTTACTGAGGCATTTCGATAGCGTTTGTCCACAAAGTAGCAAACGTTCCCAACTGTCTCACGTCAGAACTGGATTCGGGGATCAGGATTGATGGACAGATGAGGATTGCTGTCAATCGATCCTGATCTGTTCACCGATAACCAGACTGCGCTGCCAGTGCTCTTGTTTGAGGTCAGGTCTTGCTTCGCAAGTTCGTCAAAGATCCGCCAGGCGTCCATCACTCAACCCAGGATCATCACGTACGAGGAGGCACGCTTGATACACCATCACCGTTATCGCGTGTCGGCTAAAGAACGTTAAGCGATACATACGTAAGTTCACGAGATGCTTGACGATGACGTTATCGAACCATCCAACAGCTTGTGGTCATCTCCAGTCGTCGTTGTCAAAAACACGGACGGGTCGCTATGCTTTTGCGTCGACTACCGGAAGCTTAACAACGTGACCAAAAAGGATGTGTACCCGCTGCCGCGCTGAATAGACTCTGCTGGATAGACTTCGTCGTGCCCATTATTTTACTTCTCTCGATCTCAAAAGTGGGTACTGGCAAATCGAGGTAGATCAGCGAGACCACAAGAAAACAGCCTTCGTGACTCCAGACGACCTATACCCGTTTCGAGTACTCTCTTTTGGCTTGTGTTCAGCGCCGGCAACTTTGCAGCGAATGATGGACACTGTCCTCACAGGGCTCAAGTGGCAGACTTGTCTTGTCTACGTTGATGATGTGGTGGTCTTTTCTTCCACGTTTATGCAGCACCTTCACCGCCTGTGCAGCGTGCTGGAGGCTATACGATCGGCAGACCTCACACTAAAGCCCCAGAAGTGCCACTTTGGCAATGAGGAACTGAAATTTCTTGGACATGTAGTTAGCACCAAAGGGGTCCAGCCCAATCCAGACAAGCTTGCCGCTGTTGCCGAATTACCAGCTCCTGTCGATAAGAAAGCCGTCCGGCGCTTTCTTGGTTTGTGTGCCTACTATCGCCGGTTCATTCACGGCTTTTCACAGAAAGCGGAACCCCTGAATCTTCTCTCAAGGATAGACATGCCGTTTGTCTGGGAAAATGAGCAACAAGCAGCTTTTGATGAGCTGCGACAGCACATGCAATCAGCGCCCATTCTCGCTCGTTTCGACGGTGATGTCAACACGGAGGTGCATACTGATGCTAGTAACATTGGTCTAGGCGCAATGCTCGTTCAGCATCTAGATGACATTGTAAGAGTGATAGCCTACACCAGCCGCTCTCTATCACGTGCTGAGCCGAATCGTTCAACTATGGAGAAAGAGTGCCTCACAGTCGTGTGGGCGATCACCAAATTTCGCCCATACCTTGATGGTAGCCCCTTCAAGATAATGACAGACCACCGCGCCCTCTGTTGGTTAGCAAGTTTGCACTACCCTTCAGGACGACTAACACGGTGGGGCTTGCGCCTGCAGGAATTTGATGTCACCATCGTTCATATGTCTGGCTGAAAGCATGAAAACGCTGGCACACTTTCACGCGCGCCCCTTCATCTTGTTAGTCAGGAGGACGACGAAGGTTTCCTGGGCGCCATTAGCTCATCAAACTTGAGCAAACGGCAAGGAGATAACACAGAAATTAATCTAATCATCGATCACTTAGAAGGCCAGGATGCAACCATACCTTGACATTCATCCCGCTCGTTGACGTCGTTCTGCCTGCGAGACAGTGTGCTATACAAGAAGAGCGCCCGTTCGAACGACCGTGCTGACCTCCTGGTGGTTCCTCGAAACATGCGAGACGACGTCCTCTTCGCTTGCCATGAGGAACCCACATACGGTTATCTGGGCTACTCATGGACACTTGCCAGAGTGAGCGAGAAGTACTATTGGCCCGGTCTTTCGGCAAGCGTCAAAAAATACGTCAAGGGCTGTTGGAAATGTCAGCTCCCAAAGCAACCATTTGTTAAGCCAGCTGGTTTTCTTCAGCCCATGGAAGCTCTTGCACGCCGCTCGACCAAGTCAGTATCGACATTCTCGGGCCCTTTCCCCTGTCTGCGGACAACAACAAATGGGTGATCGTTGCGACAGACTATTAGACACGCTACACTGAGACGCAGGTGATCCCACAAGCCACGGCTTCAGAGGTAGCACAATTTTTCATGTGCCACATCGTGTTACGATACAGTGCTCCTTCCAGTATAATAACGGACAGAGGGTCAGCATTTATGACGGAGCTTATGGACAAAGCAACACCAGACACCGAAAGGCACCTGCATATCACCCGCAAAGCAATAGACTTACGGAGCGACTGAATAAGACCCTTGCAGACATGATCACAATGTAGATCGACATACAGCACAAAACATGTGACCAGATTTTGCCTTACGTGACCTTCGCATATAATACCGCCGTGTAAGAGACCACCCGATACACGCCAAGGCCATTTCGGCTTCTGTACGGCCGCGAAGTGGAGACCATGCTGGCCTCTATGGTATCATGTCAAGACCACAACGAGTTGGAATCTGACGCCGAAGAATTCGCAGAGCGTGCTAAGGAAGCCCGGTAGCTCACGTGACTGCACATTAGCTAGCAACAGCAGGCAGACGCACGACCCTATAACATCTGCCACCGAGAAGTGTTCTGCAACCCCGGAGACCAAGTTTGGGTGCGGATGCCCGTCCGCTGCCGTGGCCTTAGTGAAAAGTTACTGAGCCGTTACTTTGGCCCACATAAAGTGTTACAACGCGCCAGTGACGTGAACTACGAAGTCGTTCCGGACTCAACACTGCAGGCACGGACCAGAACACGACCGTAGCCGAACGTCGTCCATGTGTTGTGCATGAAACCATTTATTGCGCGTTGTTCGTAACTTGTTCTTTACTGTTCACCGCTCTTTGTGCTTTTTTGTTTATTTCTGTGAACTTGCTTCTTCGTTCATTGAGTTTTTCTATATTGGCACTGTCTATAATTTCTACTTTCACTTTATCCGAATTTCTTATACCTTTTTTTTTCACGTGGCTATGTTGTAACATCGGGGTGGTGCTATGTACGTTTCCTTCTTTATTTTGGTACTTTTTTTTCTTTTCGAAAGGAGGAATATTGCAGTGGGTCGAAAGCAAGAGTGGCTCTCAACCTGGAAGAAAAGACAAAAATTTCGTGCTTCTTCTCTGCTCGAGAGCCAGCTTCGACTGAAGATTGTCCAGGAGCAATCTATTCAGTGGCTTAATAAACCCCCCAGTACTTCTGAGTCATCGTGCCAATATAAATAATAGGGGAGGTTCTATGATAACATTTACAATTTTGGAGCAGGCGGGACACTGATGAAACAAAAATAAGCTGTAGAAACAAAGTGGAATATTGAATGGCCCTGATCATGCATCAGAGTGACAGAGGCACTACAGAGAAGGAGTCGGCAACTTTCTCTTGTCTCATCCTACCCGAAGACCGACTCTGCAGTTCTAACCAAAAATGAGACTTTTGCATGAAACTTTTGTTTTATTGCAACTTCGTGACGCACATGCTGAAAGTTAACATAATTTTTTAAGCCAATTTCTCAAAGTACTGTCAATGCCTAGCCCCCCTTACCCTCTGCTGTGTCGGCTACTTGGCCCTACGCCACAAAAGGTTACCGACGTCTGCTGCTTTAGCATTGAGCAAGTGAGCAGCCAGAAGATTTCAGGCTCCAGTGGTATCATGTGAGATGACTAAAGGTGCATTAAATAAGTTACGATGCACTCATACCAACTAGCTCGTCTTGCAATATTACTCCATGACCAAAAGCATGAGAAGACATTTGGAATCTCCACGAGAAAGGACATCAAAAACTGCTAGTGAGACTTGTGTTACCTATGATAAAAATATTCTTAAAGTTAATACTGAACGACTTTTCGAAAGGTGTCATAAAAATCATCCTCCAAGAGTGGAAGATGTGTCTCTTGTTTAGTGAGTGCTCATGGGCTGGTAAACCACAAATGGTGAAGGAGAAAGCAGAACATATTTTAGAAGAAATGGGAGCAATTTCGCGCTGTTGGATGACGTGAGCAGAAGGTTAGCTGTAAAAGTGTAACCGTGCTTATGGGAGATGGTGGTTATCACTGACTTGTTTTCATTTGAATCATTTTCAATGTGTATTACTAATATGCGATATTTAAGCATGTTTTATGCATACAGCTGCAAGAAGGCTTCATAACATAACTGTACAATCCTTTTTCTCCAGCTGAAGTGGGGGTCACCACCAAGTTACATTACAAAAACAAAAGGCACAGCTACAGCCATTGAAATGCACACACCTGAAACGTGACTGATGCCAAAGAAATGATGAATGAGAATCTGCACATGTCGGTTCACAGAGGTGCGTGGCGAGTCACTGGCATGGCTCAGGCAATGCATATTGGCCGGTGAAAGCCACACTTCCAACACAACACATGAGTCCAGCACTTCTGCCACTGTGAGACAAGCTGATTTTGTGCTTGACAGGACAAGCCGCACATCCTCATGAATACACAATGTTGCATCCAAAGAGTGCCACTGAAAAACAGCATAACAATGTGCACAATGTTTAGGTCAGTTAAATCAAATATTAATAAAATATTTAATAGCTGCTCCTACAACTTTGAAACAAATGGCTATATTATTTGTAAATTTTTTAATCATAAGCAACTGGCTCGGTTTCGCAGAGACCACGAACACCTTGTTCCATAGAAGATTGGCTTTTCTTTTTCTCCTTTTGTTGTTTACATTGCTGAACAATAGAAGCAGCTGCAGTACCTTCGATCTTGGCATGCTTGCGCACTTAGTAAGCCTCTCTAAAACATGCTAATCTGGCCTCCCTTTATTCTGGTGTTCCACATAAAAGTTAGTCTTTGCTTCAAGCGCTGCCAACCTTGCTAGCATGTGCTCTTCTACTCACATGATGATGAGGAGAAATACTCACATAGCTAGAGAGAAGCACATCGAAGGAAAGGGCAATTATAAACTTCACTAGCTATCCCTGCTGACTTGAGCACAACTGCAACACCACAAGTAAATTACCATCTCTGGATGGTTTATGGTCCCCTTAAACCTCTGTCTGGTCACGTGGTACGACAACGAATCATGCCGCACGGTGCCACACTTGCACTCAGATAGCTCAAGATCACTGCAACGCGACGAATGACCTTGCGAGGCATCAAGCATTAAAGCTTTCACAAAAAAAAGGGGGGAGTTCAGGCCTTAAGTGCCAAAATGAAATCCAAACTAGAGTTTTGTCCTGGGGTGAACCCAAGCGGAAACCAATATTCTCGAATGTACCTTGTAGTGTACACGTATCCTGAAGGAGTACGACCACTAGCGTGGGTCCGGTCTTAGCGAGCCACAGGGCATGCTAAGACTGTCGCTGTGTACTACTATGGTATGTGACCATAGTACTACTTGAGGTCATAACAATTAATTGTCTGGGGCAACACCAAAAACGCAGTACAGAGCCCGTTGCAACAGGGGCAGCGGGAAAGCAAATGGGCTTATCCACACCCCGGGCGAGAAGTACTACACAGGGTGCCGCGTCTCCGTGGGCAAAAGTGATTCACGGGGACACCGAGACAAAATGCCCGGTTGCTCGAGCGAGGGCAAGAGTGCTCTCGTCAGCTTCCGAGAGGTACAAGTTAGCGTAGTTTGACCACGCACTAGGACACCGCACCGCGCTTCGGCTTAGCGTTCGGAAGGGGCGACAAAAGGTAAGCGATCACCGCGAGCGCAAAGAGTTGTTGGCGAAGTCCGAACGAGCTCCAAACAAAGGGAGCCGACGAATGGAAAAGAAATGCGCGCTTACCCCAAGTCGTCCAGGAGAAATTCTCTCTCACTCTCAACGCGCGTACGTGAGACGTCTCAAGAGACACTGCTCACGGTGCCACAGTCGACATCTGCAACTGGGTGAGAGGGGTTAAACATCACTTTCACTTTCCCAGGGCGGCAGACCACGGATGAGAAAAGAGCCATTTCGGGACATGAAAACGGCAGAAAGAGGCGGCAAAGCCCGCCCGTGCAAAGGTGACAGGCTAGCCTCGATTCCCACAGCCTGAACCCACAGCAAAGTTCAAAGGAGAGGGATTAATATCACAATTTTGTAACACCAAGCCAACAGTTGGGCAGAGGCCCACCTTGTCGGGAATAAATGAGTTTCATAAATACTAGCAACATTGTAAAAAGCCCCAAAATGTTCAAGCGACTCTGGGCTAAGCTGCCACTGTGCATGAAAACAAAAATAATGTGGCTCCCATACATGTGACAAAGAGTATGAACGTGAAATGAACGTGAGTATAAACGTTTCATTTTGACGTGAACATTTTGTGTGATCTAGGTGGTATGCACGCAGGCCAAACACGTGGGACTACTCATGCAAAATGATGGCCGTTGGCTGTTTCTTGTACGTATGTATAGATGGTGCTGAAACGAATCGTTCTTTGCAACTCGTCTATGCCCATAGGGACAATTAACGTATTTTCAGCAAAGACTCAAGCAGCACATGTGTGATGTAAGAGATAAGATGCTTTCTTCACATGAACTGGGTGAACACACAGAAGCAGCTGACCACAAAATAGGCTGCGATAAGGCAAAGATCACGGAAAGTGTCTCCTTATCTCAAAAATTCCAGGCAATAACACAGTTATTAAACTTATAATGACAGCAACTTCCCACTAATGCACGCAGGTTGTCTATGTCATATTTTCCTTAAAATACACAATCCGTTTGTTTGGACACTCACTTTTTATAGTGAAAAAGGCTCCCATGTGGCGTCTTGCTCTTATGTGAAGTAGCCGGTGTACATTTAATTTTCCTGATCCGTACTATCAGTCTGTACCTTATAAAATGATACACTAAATGTATTTGATGTTTAATCACTGCTGGGGAATACTAAACCAAATAGGTTATTATGGCACATTAAAAATTTCATATTTACCCACCCCAACCAAAAGATTAAGTTAATATACCACACATGATTAGCAGTGAGCATCAAAAGCACTAATAGCACTCAGCAAAGCTAGCAAAAGAAGGCCCCTCATAAATCACACGTATATAAAACGTGCATAGACTCCCGACACGAGGAAGCAACACATACCTGGTCACTGCAGCTGTAAACCACACAGCAATCAGCCTGGCCAGTTTTGCACCCAATGAAAACCGAGTTGTTGCCTCTGAAGGCATCTTCCAGAGTCTTATTGCCGTTTGTGCATGCAGTTAGGTTCAACTGCCCAAGACAAAATGGGCTGCTGCGATCTCCGCTTCTCTGCTCATCTTGACGCTTGACCTGCAGTGCATAATCCCAGCCTTCGAGAAGGCTCTCTCGTTGATCGTACACCAGCAGTTTCCAGCCTTTTCCTGTGAAGAAAATCCCCCTTGCTTTTAGGAAACGATTTGGCCCAGGTGCGAGTGGGCCTCATTTGAATGAACAGAGTCGATCAAGATTCTATCCATGCTGAGTATTTCCACTCTGAAATGCTCAACTCGTGACCGAAGTTAGTTTGACATGGCAAGTGCCCATTTTCCTCGCCAAACAGACTTTAATGATGAGCAAATGCCAAATTACACGAAGTCAATATGGGCACTCTATTGTTATGGGCAACAACAAGCGCAACATGATTATGGACAACAACAACAGCCCACTGATGTTTCAAACAGCGTCCTGCTGAAGTTGCAGCTTGCTTGCTTGTACCTTGGGTCCTACCCACCACAGAAGATTGGCCATGAAATGAGCAGTTAAACGAATTGGCGTGGGGCTTCTTTACATCCACCAACAGTTGAATTGACACTATGGTAAGAGTACTTTACTCTTGAAAGCTTGCCATATTAAGTCCTACAGGCATAGATATGGGCTGCACGGAAACGTTCACAGTCCACAAATCGGCACAACCATCGACAGTGAGCATGAGGCAACGAGGTGCAATAACGTTTTCTTTAAGTGCGTTACTGAAGTTCAACTCAGTCAAACCGTAGTAAGAACCTGCACAAGAACGTGAAGAGTTTATGTGCACAAACATTGCAGTATGTGGGGCCAAACAGATGTCTTGAGACACAGAAAACACGTTCGAGCTGTCATCAACGGTATCTTCTGTCAATGGCGAGGACAACACGGTACGAAAACTAATCCCACCACTACCACAATACAGAGTGACACCACATTCACGCAAAAAATCTATACCTAGAATGACGTTGTGGGTCGCACGTCCAAGCACCGTTAGTTCAGCTCGAAACGTTTGGTTTCCTACAGAAAGTAAAACAGAACAAACACCAACTGGCCCAACGTTTCCCCCCTACACCGCGGAATGTAGCACTCCTAATTCCAAGCAAACATTACTTTCGTCCCAGGGCGATTTTTAAGACATGCTCATTATGGAAACCACAGCACCGGTATCAACTAATGCAACAGCTAATGCAACATTAGACCTAGTTTTGTCAACTCATCCAGACTTCATATCCCCAATTATCTATCTTCCTGGTCTGAGCGACCATTTGGTGTTACATTTCGACATCACCATGTCTTTTTCACGTGGAACTGAAAAAGACAAGTACATCCGGGACTACCGCAATGCAGATTTTGACGCCATTAACCAAGATATGTGCGCGTACTTAGACACATTTTGTTGCAATTTTGAAGAGAGAAGTGTACAAGAGAACTGGGACCTTTTCAAAAACTTAGTTACTAATGTCACCAATGCGCACATTCCCCTTCGACGCATACGGAACAACACAAAAAGACCGTGGTATAACACGCATCTAAAACGTTTGTCTAATAGAAAAAAGCGCTATTTCCGCACAGCCAAGTTGCAAAATACTAGTGACTGCTGGGTAGCGTATCAAAATGCTGAGGCAGAATACGTGGAAGCTGTGCGTGCTGCTAAGAATCGTTTCCAAACGCATACGTTGCCTGAATTGTTATCAAGGAACCCCCGGCAATTTTGGAACGTTATCAATTCTAGCCAAAATGCGGATTTATCAATTAACGATGACTCTGGTGAGCCGCTACCACCATCTGAATGTGCCGCGTTATTTAACAATATTTTTTCAGCCAATTTCTCGGGAAATACTGCTGCACCTGTTGACGCAGTTGTGTGCCGTGACTACCGCTCAATGTTTCCTATCATTTTTGATTCTGCAGGAATTTTGAAGTTAATTGACACCTTAAAAACATCCTCATCATGTGGGACTGACGGTATCAACTCAAAATTTCTCAAACAAACAAGCGCATATTCGTCTCTCTTCTTGTGTAAGATTTTCCAGCAGTCACTTGACCAAGCAACTTTGCCGCTGGACTGGAAGGTCGGTAAGGTTGTGCCGATACACAAGTCTGGTGATAAACACTCCGCTCTTAACTATCGGCCCATTTCACTAACAAGCATTCCGTGTAAACTAATGGAACATGTACTGCATTCACATATTGCGAAACTTTTAGAATCGAATTCATTTTTTACATCGGCCCAACACGGTTTTAGGCGTACGTTTTCCTGTGAAACCCAGTTGCTTCTTTTCACTCATCACCTGCATACCATTCTTGATAAACAATCTCTAATTGACTGCATTTTCCTGGATTTTGCAAAAGCATTTGAAAAAGTCAATCACGCTTTACTAATGCATAAGCTCTCCTCTCTCAACCTTGACTCGAATGTACTGGCATGGCTCAACTACTTTCTAACAAATCGTCTTCAGTACGTCACTGTTAACGGTCATGACTCGCCGGAAATAAGTGTAACATCGGGTGTCCCGCAAGGCTCAGTTCTGGGACCTCTGCTGTTTTTAATATATATTAATGATCTCCCTGACTGCGTTTCTTCATCCGTTCATTTATATGCCGACGACTGTGTGCTTTACAGGGAAATACGTACCGATGATGATAGGAACATCTTGCAGACAGACTTAAATAACATTAGGAATTGGTGCGATAAATGGCTTATGAAATTAAATCCCAAAAAATGCAAGCTAATGACAGTCTCCCGCCAGCCCAATAACTCCTCAACATACAAACTGGGTGATGTTTATCTTGACCAAGTGTCGTCATACCGGTACTTAGGCGTCACCATTTCTTTCAATCTAACATGGAATGCCCATATTAACGTCATCACGAACAATGCTAACCGTACATTGGGATACATACGTCGAAATTTCAGCAACGCCCCACTTTCCTTGAAGATGCTTCTTTATAAAACCCTCGTGCGCTCGAAATTGGAGTACGCTGCTGCAATCTGGAACCCTCACCACGAAAACTTGATTAGGCACCTTGAGCTAATTCAAAATAACGCTGCACGTTTTATTCTATCGGATTATCACCGTACATCAAGCGTAACAGCAATGAAGCACCACTTGTCACTGCCACCTCTATCACTGCGTCGCAAGTACTTCCGCCTTTGCCTTTTCCATAAGACCTACCATCATCCATCACTGCGTAATGAGCTCATTACGCCTCCCACATATCACTCCTCTCGGATCGACCATGAACACAAGGTTAAAGGTACTTTCTGCTACACAAACACATTTTCTTGCTCCTTCATACCGGTCACATCAAACGATTGGAATCGGCTACCAGGTGACATCGTTTCCATCTCTGATCACTCCCTCTTTCGTCATTCTTTATCAGCTCACCTATTTCGCGATAGCCCTCCTTAGTCATCCGATCTATTCCCCTCCTTACGAAGTTCTGTCTCCACGTGTCAAGATGCCAGCGTTTTCCAGTGGATTCTTGATTTTTTGTGTGTGCGTGTCATTTCCCTTACTTTTACACTTTTTTGCTAGTACTGTATAATTTTACTACATTCACTATTTGCTCATTGTGATTTCCTTATTTTTACGTTTCACTTTTGTTGCGCCTCATTGAGTAGAGGTTTTTTTTTTTTTTTTTTTTTTTAGTTTTGTTCATGTATAAAATAGCACGTATATTTTTCATGTTGTAACCCACTCCCCTCTGTAAAGCTTCGGCGATTGAGGGTAACAAAATAAATAAATAAACAGTACTCACACTGTCTACAAAAACACTCCCTTTGTTCTCAACCATTACAGCACAAAGGGGTCTTACAGAAGATGATGTTGCGGCCTCGCCCCCATCGTTCGCACCAGTTAGTTTCCCAGTGATAATGGCGTCCCCGAGCGGCGACAGAGATCACTGTTGGCGTGCGGGTGGTGGGGTAAGGCTGTGGTCGGAGCAAGGCGAGTCAGCACGTGCTGCGTTTTGCCATTGGAAAGAGCCCTGAAATGGTCGAGACTCCCCAGCAGGCACATAGGGCGTGTACACGTTGAATCGTGGAGCTTGCTGCTGGCGACGATAGCAGTACCTAGCAATGTGCCCAGGTAGCCCGCAATTTAGCAAGTACGGGTGTCGCACAAAGTCATCCCTCGCAAAGTAGACCTCGCTGGTTGATAAAAGCCAAGCAATGGTGGCTGAGTAGTGAATCGCCGTGATGCAGCTTGCCTGCGTTTCTGGTTTGCGAGTGGCCGTTCACTCCTTCGTTCGAACCAATCGGTGTAATTCGGGCGAGGCTCAAAGTAGCTTTGACGCATCCGAAGTACCGGTGGTTCACGGGGCCGTTGGTCGAATGCACACTGATGGCAGACACCGGCGGTGTCCACAGCTTGCAGTTGAGCAAGTTATTACTTAACCACTCGTCTTTTAATCGAAGAGATGTCGTCCTGCGATGGAAGGTTGACCCTTGTAATCGTGGGCACATTGTCAAGATGTCCTAATTTCGGTAGGAATCTCCTCTTCTTTGGCTCTTTAAACGCTCAGCAGTGTTTCCTTAGATCAGAAAATGTGTGTAGGTCTTCCTTAGTGATAAGAAAATTGTAGACGTCTTCCGCGATTCCCTTGAGCAGATGACCTACCTTATCTTCGCCAGACATGGTCGCACTCATGATTCCGCAAAGCTTCAAGACGACCTCAATGTAGGCGGTGCATGTTTCACCAGGTAACTGGGCTCTGCGAGAAAGCGTTTGCTCTGCCAGCTTGACCTTAGCAGTCGAGTCACCAAAACACCTCTTCAGCTCGTCCACAAAAATGTCCTATGTGGTCAATGCACTCTCGTGGTTGTCGAACCAAAGAGACGCGGTACCGACTAGAAAAAACACCACGTTCTCGAGCTGGTTAGCAGTGCTCCAGCGGTTGCTGCGACTCACTCTTTGATAGTGCTTGAGCCAATCCCCAACATCGTCATCCGGCTGCCCCGAAAAGGTCCTTGGTTGACGTTCTGGCGTGCCGCAGCTAGCTTGTGCTGGCGGATGATCGTAACAGCGTCGAGGTTGTGATGGCCTGCTCCCGCGTCCTCCATGTCTGGTAGCTGCAGTGGCAAGCCTGCCAAGCGTCTGCTCCGTCCCAAATATGGTAAAATGGCGTTGGG